GATTGTGAAATACGCTTTTATAGAGTGATGGAAAACTAATTCGAGATTAAAATAATAAAGCATTTTTTCAAAGGTTATATATATATACTTTGTTTATTAGCCAGTCATATTTTTAAAATGACAGATGGATGAGACTAAAAGCCCGACAATTACAATAAAAAGACAAAGGTTAGTAATCACAAGCCGTTTATATGCGATGTTATATTTTATATGATAAATTTTTTTGAACAATGAAGTATCCGATGAACCGTATCATAAAAAAATAATTTACGGAGAAGATGTAATGTGACTTATGACATTGAAAAACGTTTCTTGATCTTTATTGAATCACTTAATAAATACTCATAAATGAAAGCTCATTGTACATGATACTTTTTGAAAAGGGAAACAGATAGATGGATAATTGCCCGCAAAACTGTTTTCTGTAAAGTTGTAACTAAAATAATGCAGAGGAAACAATAATTATCTATGTCACTAAGCAGAAATGTTTCGCATCATCATTTAATATGTAACTGTCCTCTAGCAATGCATCTCACTTTGATACTGATAAAATGAGAATTTTTTCAGAAGTAAAATCTTCTATACAAGCTGCGGCACTCCATGTGGATAGTATTGTCCAAAGAACTTTATTTCAAAACAGAACATCAGAAATTCTATTGTTTTCCAATATACTCATTCAACTTATGTGTAGTTTTGGATAGATCAATCAAAAGCAGAGCAAGTTGTACTCTATAGTTAATAATCTCATTTTGAGAGACAACTGCCACAATGAAAACATAGAGTGCACGAAAAATAGCTAAAATACTTAGTCAAAAACAATTTCGGCAGCCGATGACCAATCAACAAAATATGCTTGATAAGATTATCTATACATTTTCTCCTTAAACTATGATTTTTTTTAATAATTTAGTTTGATTGAAAACCAAGTAAATTGACGGTTGATGTCATATAAAATCTTTCTCGAATTTGTCAAATGCATTTCGTAAGAAAAGTTTTTCATCTCGATGTGTACCGCTCAAGAATCTCAAATATTCCTCTGTGTCAATCTTGCCTTTTGTTTTCTCCCGGGTTTGCTGGGCTAGATCGACAAAATCACTAGTTGATATGATATTTTTATTTTTATTTTTATTTCTTTTTTTTATCCATAGAATAAAACATAGACATATAGTTTATATATGGACCACAACAAAGAGAGAGAAAAAGAAAAAGATAAAAGAAAGGAGAGAACGCGCAAAACAATATGTACTCGAATATATAATATAAAAGTGGAACATTTCGATGTCCTCGAATAAACGAAAAGATGAATATAAACAAAGAAAAGAAAGATATCTACCGATCGAGGTGATCGATAGAAAAGATAAGGAATGATAGTTCCAGGGCTTCAAGTCTGTCTGATTTGATACTCTGCTTATTGTTTTTTTTCTTGATATGAATGAACAGCGAAAGCATTTTTATCTTTTTTTTATCTCAGTGTTGGATGAAATAAAAACAAAGAAAATTTGATAACTTGGCATATTCACTTCAAGTTTTGACTTTTTGTTTGGATCATTATGCATTCGTTATTTGTTAGTTTGTTTTTTGTGCACAATAAAAACGTGTTGTTGATCAAATATATATTGTTTGATCATGCACGTTATTGTGTCCAAAGTCTTAATGGTATATATGAAATTAGCTGTCAATCAGCTGTAAGAGGCAATTCTGGTCGAATGTATATGATTGATAATGATCAACAGTTTAATTCATATCTTACAGATGGCAAAATAATTAATTCATCTAGATCATTTATTATTGTACTCCATGCGAATTTATCTGATCGATCCTTCCCCAGGGCGAAGAATCCGACAGTCGGATTCCCTGTAGATTCCGACAACTTCCGACGGGGAATCCGACATCTTCCGATAGGATCCTGTTGGAAGTTGTCGGAATCCTTGTTACAGTAATCCGATCGGAAGTTGTCGGATGTCGGATCCGACAATTTCCGACGGTCGGATCCGATTGTTGGAAAATGTCGGATACAGTTAGAATCCGATAGAATCGTCATGAATTCACATTTAAATAAAAATTTAATTTAATAAAAACTAAATTTATTAAAAATAAAATAAATAAAAATACAATAAAATTAAATAAAAATACAATAAAATAAAACAATAAAAATTAAATTAAATTAAAATAAAACAAATAAAAATTAAATTAGATAAACTAAAATTAAATTAAAATAAAATAAAATAAACATAAAATTAAACTAAATAATAATAAAATAAGTAAAAATACAATAAAATAAAATAAAATAAAATAACAACCCAGGTCGAGGTTTACGGAGTCTGTAAACGGTCGTAAACGGTCGTGTACGGTCCGTTTTCCTTCGTATACGACCGTATTTTGCCGTATTACATGGTCACGTATTACGATCGTATATCACCGTCACCGTATACGGAGCAATACGACGATATACGTAGAAATACGAAGCAAAATGGAGATTGTATACGAACTCCGTATACGATCTCAGTTTACGATCGTATNAAGGTGGTTTTTTCGAATATGCTTTTCGGCAGCCACACACACCATCACACCCACACCCACACCCACAGCCACAGCCACCCACACCCACACCGCTAAGAATTATTACAACGCGATAATTAATTGATACTTATTTATATATATACTGGGTGCGGCATAAAGATTGCAACATTTAGTATTTTGCAAATATCTCATCACAGATCAATCGTATAATCTTGATTCTTTTGTCAAAAGATGCACCGTGAAAAACTCTACAAAAAATGTAAGAACAAATTCCTATTGACTTGCTCTGATGGTGCCTCCTATATTCAAAATGAATAGGTCACATGATGGTGCTATGTTCCACCGAATTAAATATTTAGAAGACGCTTTTTTGTTTTGCAAATATCTCGCCTTGAGAAAATGAAAACACTTTGAGTGTTTTCCAGAAGATACGCTGTCAAAAGCTCTACAATAGCTGTATGAACAAGTCCCTATTGACATGCTCTGAAAGCTTTTCTATTTGGTTAAAATTAAAGACCTGCGTGATGTTGCTACCAAGTATTAAAAAATGTTTAAGATATTTTTTATTTCTTATGAATTCCCGCTTAAGAAATTATTAGAACATTGATTTTGTTTTTAAAAGATGCGTGATGAAGAGCTCTACAAAATTGTAAAAATAAATCCTTATCGACTTCCTCTGATAGTGTCTCCGATACTCCAAATAAACAGGTCACACAACGGTATTATGTTCCACCATATTTAGTATAACAAAAATATTTGGAAGGCTTGCTTTTATTCCAAGAATATCTCGACTCGGGAATATGATAACGTGTTGTTTTTTTTTAAAGATGCACCGTCAAAAGCTCTACAAAAACTGTATGAACAACGTCCTATTGCAAAACAAAAAAGGGTCTTCTAAGTATTTAATACGGTGAGTCATAGCACCATCGTGTGACCTATTCATTTTGAATATAGGAGACACCATCAGAACAAGTCAATAGAAATTTGTTCTTACAGTTTTTGTAGTTTTTCACGGTGCATCTTTTAAAAAAAGAATCAAGATTATACGATTGATCTGTGATGAGATATTTTCAAAATACTAAATGTTGCAATCTTTATGCCGCATCCGGTATATGAGTGCTTCACACGGAAATCTAGTCTGTAAAAGAGTGCACTGACTGAAACTAATGAGTAGTTGTATAAAAATAACAAAATTTGCTACACTTTCTTTATCCATTATTAGTATATATGTTTGTTACAGATCATTTTCTCGGTAACGAAACTTGATGTTTGTAAAATCTTCGGTTCAATTCAGCCGAAATTCAATTTTATGCGAATTATTATCTTTCCTTTTCTTTTTTCTTTTACATATACAAGTATTTTCATATATAAGAGAGAGATGACTAAATATCCTTTATTCCAGCCTAGACTATTTTATATAGAGAAGATGACGTCGAATATGTTCTTTTATTACAATGCCCTTACATTTAGAACAGAAAGAAAGAGTGATAATTTATTAAAATTGTCACGGCCGAATAGGAAAGTAGAAGAGAAAAGAGGGAGGGAAAAATAATAGAAGAAAACAATAAGAAATAAAGATGGATGTTAGAGCACTATCAAAGTTGTTTTGTTTAATTTCGTTTTGAATTTAAATTCTTTTTTTCCTATATTGACTATTGAACTTTTTGATTTTTTTTCTAGACGCTGTTTGTACGAGATTCCGAATTTATCATGACCGATTCGATGGCTTTTTTCGAACGTGTCTTCGAAGAACTCTTGCTCAAATGTTACGCGATGTTCGTCGGGAACAAAGGCGAGCGGTGTATGATGCGGCTGCTGGTGATACTAGTGTTAGATCTGGTGCTGGTGATTTAAATGGAGAAGAGGTGGCTGGTGATTATGATAACGGTATTCAAGAAGTGATTTTTGTGATTAAAAGTGTTGGTAAGTGGTACTAAAAGTTTCGGTATGATAATAATATTTTTTTTACTTTTAGATGCTGAAATATATTTTTTTTGGTGGATGGTTCTCGGTGGTTTTTTCGAATATGCTTTTCGGCAGCCACACGTGATTAGTTTGGTTTTTATTTTCGATTTATATGCCATTCGCCTTCCTTTCTTTCGTTTACTTATCATATTTCTTTTTTTGTTTATGTTGTGTGCTCACGAGAAGATTTGTGAATGAGACAACTTAGTTCTCTTTTATTATTATTGCTGCTCTATCTTCTGTTATATTTCTTCTATTCGATTATATCTTCTCTATGTGGTTTTAGGATATTTTTTTATTTACTGTTTATCATTGATGTGAAGGCTTATACTATTGGATATACTTGAAAAATAAAAGATTTCTATTATATGACAAATGAATTTTAATTGTATTTGATGTTGCAACATTAAAACGCATCGCAATTATACAAGCATACGTCAAACCAGCATGATCTTGGTATACGATTCTATTAAATCGAATCTGATTCTATTGTGGGGTCTTACAAGAATCTTACCATATGAATTGATATCAGATCGCAGAGACTACGATTTTTGTATGATTTTTTGTATGATCCTACATGAACATATATGATTCTGACATCAGATCAGATATGGTCACGTATGGAACCCATAGCTGATCTTACTATCTGATTGCTCGACCTGGGATGGTTCCGTGACAGTTTCTTGACAAACAGTTTTTGCTTCGATACATTGATTCAAATAACTTTGTATATATATATATATATAGTGTGAAAAAATCTTATTTTTTTTAGCAAAAGTTACAAAGCAAATGGATTTTTATTTGTATTAACGAAACGAAGAAAACAGATATTGAATATTTAATTGTGTATATCGTAGTGTATTCTGTCGAAGTGTATATCATCCTCGTTTTCCATATGTTGTCGTTCATAACACACTGTACAGCATGGCATTGTTCATATGATACGTCGACAAATATTAAACGCCAAAATGAATCATATTTTATGACATTCGATGAATTGCATTGAAGTAATTTATTTGACTTTTAGTCCGACTATAGATTATAAATTAAAACGTCAATTAACTATAATAGATACATTTTCCATGAATTGCCACAAGTTTTCCGCTTAATGGTACCTCCTTGCTTTTCGTGATCCAAATTCTTTTTTTGTGGCCATTGTATAGTCTGAAGCAGGTATCTATCTACTGAGTGCAAAAAATCTCTTTAAACGTTAAACACTTTGAGAAGAAATCATACCGGAGAAAATTACACTGTTTCGCGTTTTTCTCAAATAAACTTTTTCATGAAAACAGCGCAAAAATGCTCTCTGTTGTTCTAAGCTAGTATTTCTGATCGAGCTGAAATGTTTTTCACGTATACTATAACGATCTGTCCAAAAAAAAAGATGTGTTTTTTATGGTACCTTCGATGCGTTGGCTTTTTTATGCGAAAAACAAAAAATAAAAAAGGATCCACCTCGAACGGTTTTGTATCTGTGAATAAATTTTCAATTCTACTAAATAGAGCATCTCGAAGAAATAGAGAGACCATTTTTCGTCATTGTGATCGTAGTGTATGATAAAAGAAAGCATTTGGGATGACAAATTTTGCTCTGCTGGTCAAGATTTGCTTGCCGTAAAAATTTCATTTTTTTCTGATAAACTATTCTTTAAAAACCTTCGAAAGAGAGAGTGTCCTTAAATTACATTCTCTACAGTATATTACTAGATTAAAAATCACATATCGTGGCCCATATGTAATAGACTATTGAGAAATTTTTGCTGCGTAGCATAGATAGAAAATCTAGAAAAATGCAGTATTTACAGGTTACTGAGAGCTATTGTCAATGGTATCAAAATTGTGCAATTCCTTTGCATGTAATCTCAACGATTCTGAAAGAAATTTCATTGAAAACATATTTGAAAAGACAGGATAATATTCGAAGTAAGAAAATCAATTCATAGAGTTAACAATTCTTGCGCGATCGAATTTCAAACTTCTGTACTTGAACAATGGAAACAATAATGTCATATAGAGTAGTGATACATAATAATTTTAGATAATAGTTTCATTCAATGTCGTCAAATGAAATTATCAAACTATTTATTCATGTAATGCAAGGAAATTATGCAGTTATTCAACGAATTCAATAACAATTACTCGTCTTGTTCAGAACAGAACTGCTGAGTCAGCTATATTGGGTTAAACTATTGCAATTATAATTCTTAGTAGTTAACTTCATGACGATTTAATTGTATAAAGTTCATGAATTATCACAATCATAAATTGTTTTGATGGCTGTACAGCATTACAAACTAACGCTTATGTTCGATTTACATTTCAGTTTTAATAGATTCTATCCACGTCAATCAAATCTCAATGCAAACAGTTGACTCACATAATATTGATTAAAAAATGTTAAAATGTCTTTTTCTCAGCCATGTAATCAATATGGAATGATCAACAGTACGAGTAACTAATCTTATTCTTTGGGAAAAAAGCAGTACACTGACATGCTAGTTGTGTCTTTTCCATTATACAACTGCTGAATAAGTGAAAGGCATGTATTTGCTAATAATGACTCGAGAAAAAGGTGATTGAAATTAGGCATTGTCGTTGTGATTACCAAAAACAACGAACTTCCTTGAAGAGGAGAATAGAACATTCATCAGTAACTCGACAACAAAACAATAGAATAATAGATCCTGGCTATTTCTTTATATTGAAAACATTTAAAATGTCGGTAATTATTTATAAAAACAACTTGAATAAATAATCAAGAATGATTTTATCTACATCTATTTTAAAATCCTAGAAAAATATCTTTTCTACATTTTCAAAATTTACCAATCACATACATTTCAAAATTATTCATCATGTATGTCTCTGATTATAATTAGTAAAACGTAGGCATTCATCATTTTTTCAGCGATAAGTTGTTTTCTGTCATATTTGACTTTGTTAGTTCGTGTAAATACAGCTTAAGTTATAATTTCTGTTGTATACTCCCTTGTATTGTACTATAACTTGTTTTTTGTTTTGTAAGAAATTAGGGGAATACTCGTACTTTTATGCACAGATCAAATATATAGTTATTTTACTCTTTTACTATGCATTTAATAACCCTTCGGCTCTGATTCTTTCATATTTCTTCCTTTTTTTAAATATGAAGCTGTAAACATTCAAAAAAAAAGTACAATCAATAGTATATGTCATGAAAATGTTTTTTTTTTCTGTGAGTTTCATTCGTTCTGTGATTCATCTGCTGACGTAGAATAAATAGAAAAACATACAAGCAATAACAATTTCGAGTAAAGACGGCGCATTATGCATAAGTAGTTGCAACCATGAAGAAAAAAATGCCGAACAAAACATTAGAAAAAAATGTTGGAGAAATAGTAAAGATAAGAACGTAGCCAATTAATTCGAATGATGGAAATCATACGAAGTAGTACTACATTACAAATTTTGATAATTATTTTACTAGCTGTTGTCAGATTAAGCTATCAAACTCTTTATTCATGTAATGCAAGTGCATCATGTGGTTGTTCAACGAATTCTGCAGTAGTAAGTCGTATTGTTGGTGGAGAAGCTGCAATCTCAGCTACATGGGGTTGGGCTGTTTCAGTCTCTATTGCTAATACTTATCTTTGTGGTGGATCGATCATATCAAGTTCATGGGTTATCACAGCAGCACATTGTGCAAAAGATTTTACAGCCTCCGAATTTACTATCTACGCTGGATCAAATAGGCGATGGTCTGGCACTCAAATTCGAACTGTATCAAAGATTATTGTACATTCAGGATATAACTCAGTAACGTATGTAAATGATATTGCTTTGTTGAAACTTGCCTCTCCATTGGATATGAGTGATCCATATGTGAGTTCAATTTGTTTACCATCAGTTAGTCAGGCTACACTATCAGCTGGTGAATGGCCACCAGTTGGAACAAATGTAAGTGTTCTCTCGTCTTCAAAACTCATGTAAGATATGACATATTAGGTTGTAGCTGTTGGATGGGGTAGATTGAGTGAAGGGGGTTCGTTACCATCAACACTTCAGCAAGTTACCTTACAAACAGTAGATTATCAAGCGTCGACTTGTACTCCAACGATGGTTGATTGGCATGTACAATTTTGTGCTGGTGTATCAGGTGGTGGCAAAGGTAACTGCGCTTGATTGTTTCTCTCTTGATGCATTTTTTTATTTTCAACTTTATAGATACTTGTCAAGGTGATTCAGGTGGTCCATTGATGATGTTTAACTCAAGCAATCAATGGATATTGGTCGGTGTGACAAGTAGTGGTATTGGGTGTGCAGCGGCTGAATATTCGGGAACGTATACTAGAGTAGCTGCTTATGAAAATTGGATAAACTCGAATACAAATGATTCTATTTCAAGCTTAACTTCATTGACCTCTACTACTCTTTCGGCCTCTACCACTTCATTAGGTTCTACTACTTCGTTGCCCTTTACTATTTCGTTCAACTCTAGTCGCATCAGAGTTTCAACGACGTCATTTTCTAGAATTCACTCGCATACGAGCACAGCTGAAACATCGAGTTTTTTTGTTTTTGTATTAATCACTTTACTCTTTGTGCCTTTCTATTGAACAAAAATATGGAACATTCTGTAATACATCCCATTCTTTTCTCATTTTAATTAAAACTATTTGAACTTGAAGATTATTCAAAACTTTATTTTTAATTCTCTCTTCTATAATTTTTACCATGAAGGATAAACTTTATAATAGTTCAACATTTATCATTTAAAAAGTGTATGTAGTGGGTGACAACTTTTGTCCTTTCATTATTACATATTACAGTAGTAAATAGGACGAGATTGGCGTTTACTGCCGTAGTCTTTAACAAAAATAACGTGTTTTGTAGATAATGAAAGATCTATGCAGAGCAGAGATGAAACCATCTGAATTTTTGACAATTGAACCAAACTGGTCTGCCTGAAATCCGTACCGGAACCGAGCCGGCTGATAACTGTACCGGTTCTATCTTTGACGTCTAGTATATTATAAATCACTGAAAGGTATTGACTTGTTTTGTTGTTGTTGTTGTTCACTACTATGTGCCTTCTTGCATCGATGAGTTGCATTTGATTAGAGTTATGCTCTGATGAGATTTGAAAGAAAGAAAAGAATCATTTGATCGAAGTGCGAAGAATGCTGGCTATGCGATAGTATAATGTATATCATTAGTTTTACTATGATTGGCGATTTAACTGTATGCATTGATCGGCGATTACGTCTGAATTTATCGTAACTCTTTTCTTTGTTATTGTTGTTAACTACGAAAGTCTCAGGCTGTGGCGGTGGTAGCGTTCACTAGTTTTTGATAACTGTTTTTGAAATGGAAATTGTGAAAAATGATGCTAGAGAACTAACTGGTAAGAGACTTGATGACAGATGTAATATAAAAGCAAAGAAAAAGATTTTACTCACTTTTCGTCTGATTAAAAATTGGTAAGGCGTCAGCTTTAATTTAATTGTAGTCACAATTGTCGTAACACGCGTCTTTTAGTCTGAATTTAGAAACTTCAATTTTTAATTTGTTGGACTCATCGGGTCAAGAAATAGTAATTATAAAGCTGGGTCAACTTTTGACAAGCATGTCACCCGTTGAGATACACAGCTAAGACATACTTCCGTAAGTAAAACAACGCTCATAAAATAGATTAAAGTGTAATTTTCAGTTTCAAAGACAGATTTCCTTTGATTTTAGTTGATTAAAATTGTTATTGTAAAAATAGATTTTAGTCGATTAAAATCAATTAAAAATTGAAAAATCTGTTTAACCCTAGTACTACTAAGTGGGTCATTTTTGACCTATACTGAAATATTGGGAAATACAATAGAAATACTTTGTTATTTTTTTTTAATGTTCTTGACTCTGTGCTAGGTTCACGGTGATATATATATATGTTCATTTCCTTTACGTTGTTTCATTCTTATTCGTTTCTTTCGTGCCTTGATCTATCTATTTTTTTTTCGTTTCTACTCTCCAAGTCAATAACGTCTGCGCAATTCAATACTTGGCAAAGTTATAGATTAAAAGTATATTTGCGCATATAATTTGAATAGTTGTGTACACAATATCGGAAAATACAATTATGGAAGATAGTTGTTTTGAAGATGAAAGTAATGAAGATCAACTTGGTATTGAAGAAAGTTGTTCAGAGATAGAACAAACTGATAGTGAAACATCAGAAGATGATGATGAATTTGATCTGGACGAAGTTATATCAAAGGTCGATAATACACACATCACTCAATACAGTTCTAGATCTGGGATGACCTGGTCCTCCATTCCACCTCTTTCAACAAGAACAAATCTTGTCGATAATGCAACTGAGAAGGCTGGACCAACAGAACTCACTAAAGACGTAACCTCTATTGCTGATGTATTTCTTTGTTTTATATCCGAAAAACTGTTACATTACATAAAATTTTGATTTATTCAAACAGAACGGAGTCGAAATAATACTTCATATAACAAATCGGAAGAAATAACAATAATCGAATTAAAAGCTTTCATCGGACTTTTACTGCTTGCTGGTGTATTAGAAAAATCGAAGAAAAATGTTAAGTCCTTATGGCGAAGTAGTTCTTTAGAATCGCCAATATTCACCGACACCATGTCAAGAAATCGATTTGAACAAATTATTTCCTGCATAAGATTTGATGATAAGGCAACAAGAGAAGAAAGAAAAAGGATTGATAAATTTACAGCAATTCATGAAATTTGAACGGATTTTCAAAATAATTTAAGAACATGTTACACACCAGGATCTTCTCTTACCATTGACGAAAGACTTTTAGGCTTCAGAGGAGAGTGTCCTTTTCGTCAATATATTCCAAAAAAGCCTGATAAATATGGATTGAAATTTTGGTTACGTGTTGATTCCAACTCTTATTATGTCTTCGACGCATTTCCTTATGTTGGACGACAACCTGATCAACAACGATAAAAACAGATTGATGGCAAAGTAGTTTTAGACTTGCTGAAACCATTTTATGGCACAAATAGAAACATCACGGTTGATAATTTTTTTACAAGTATTTCACTTGCTAAAGAACTTCAAACGAAGAAACTTACTATGGTAGGAACATTACGAAAAAAATAAACAGGAAATTCCTATAGAATTCCAGTCAAACGCAAGCCTTGAAGTCGGCTCTTCACTTTTTGGTTTTAACGATTATCTTACTCTAGTTTCATTCGTTTCCAAACAAAATAAAGCTGTTTTACTACTTTCTTCGAAGCATCGAGATATTCTCGTGGACAAAAAAGCTGGCAAACTGAATATTATTTTAGATTATAATAAAGCAAAAGGAGCTGTAGACACTGTTGAACAGATATGCAATAAGTACACCGTAAAAAGGGGTACAAGGCGATGACCGCTTTGCATGTTTTATGGAATGGCCGACATTGCCACAATAAATGCCTTCATCACTTGGAAAGAGAAGAATCCTAATTGGAATCAGAGTAAAAGATATAAACGTCGCTTATTCTTTGAAAAATCAGGAATAAGTTTAGTCTCATCTCTTCTGAATTGTCGCTCAAGAACCTCGACAAATTTGCATAAGGATGTTCAAAATGTGTTAGCTGTCGTTGGCTATCCTGTGATACAGTCAGAAGCACAAGAAGCAAATGACAACTCTATTCAACCCAAACGAAAATGATATTCAGTTTGCCATTTTTCTAGAGACATAAAAAATTCAAATAGATGCTATGAATGTTCAGAATTTGTTTGTAACGAGGATTCCGTAAAATGTATTTTTTATATTAATTGTTCTAAATAAAGAAAGATCATCATTTTGATAGTTTTGTAAACAAATCGAATATGGAGATAGCACATTTAGGCCAAAACATGGGCGCAAAAATATATTAATCACATTACAAAACTGTATGCTATCAATAACGTGTTAAAAAAAGCTTGATAGTACTAGGGTTAAGAACTTTTATTTGCTACAAACAAAATGATAACATGTATAAAATATAAACGAAAACAAAAATGCAAAGTAGCGTAACTGTATTAAATGACTCGTTATAATCGAGAAAAATGAAGCATGAACAAAGTTTTTATCATGATAAAATTGAGAACAAAAAGTACATAGATTGGCAATGACTAAGTGTTTGATGTTTCTGATATTCCAGCTTGCTTTCTTTTTCATAAAACAATAAAAAAATGCCAGCTAAAATAAGTTCAAAAAATAGTTACAAAGTTGACGATGTAAGCAGTTACAATCATTAATAGATTTTCGCTTGTTATTACTAAATAGTGAGATTCAAATTTATAATAAGTTCAGACAATTTATTCAAATAAACATATTTTATTCATAGTCTATCTAAGCATTACTTCTGCGTCATCAGTGATCAAACGAATGAACTTCATGCAAGAGGAAAACGACATATTCTTATACTCTTTGGAGTACAATGGGAATACGAGGTTAGAGTGAAAGTACATGAAGTTTAGTAAGAGAATTGTTGGATTGCGGAGGCACGTCATTATCTTATTGGATTTAGCTGTTGATTTTTCTCAGTCACAAAACTGTACTCCAGAACTCTATACGCCGTGTAGTTTCAATGTACTCTCATACTTGGGAGAGCCCGAGAGAGCATCACTTTTTCCTTGTCTTCATGTCACACTGCTAATGCCTATTAAATCAGTCAACTACTGATCGAACTTGGATGAATTGTAAAACGCAAAAGAGATTAGAAACTGAGACTTAGGGTATAGCTTTTGTAATTATCCGTATAAATAAAATAAAAAACACTAACATACACATAGGTAATATGCAAAAATAACTCGCTCTCAGAAGAGGTGGAAGCATATATAGTATATATACAGGATGTTTGAAAAATCATTGATCAAAAAGAAAATTGTATACCTCCATTATAGTTCTATTGGATGAATTGGTTTTTGTACTGGCAATGGCGGACACTTTCAAGTTTTTATTCATAAATATAAAAGTTTTCAAATACTCCTACAGAATAGCATTTACAAGTTGAAAACACGTTAAAGTCCTTTCCTCGAGTTGCGAAAAACAATATAAAGGATTTTTTCTTGAATTTATTCAATTTTTTTCATTATTGTAGGCTTCGAATCAGCCAGACCTATTTCTCTGGCTTCATAAATGCTGCTTTAACGTATTTGATAAACCCAGAGTGATTGACACATTTCTTCAAAACTATTTCTTCGTCTCTTATCAAAAGCTTTGATGAAAGGAAAATTGACTAAACATACGTGCTTTTAAGGTTTTCAAGGGCATTAAACTTGAGATCACTGTGCCTGGCTCGTTTAAAATGTCCAACAAATGCTCATAAGACCAAAGAAATAGGTCTGGATGATTCGAAGTCTACAATAATGAAAAAAAATTGAATAAACTCAACAAAAATCCTTTATATTGTTTTTCGCAACTCGAGAACAGGACTTTAACGTGTTTTCAAGTTGAAAATGCTATTCTGTAGGAGTATTTGAAAACTTTTATATTTATGAATAAAAACTTTAAACGGTCCTCTATTACCAGTACAAAAGCCAACTCATCCAATAGAATTATAATGGCGTTATGCAATTTTCTTTTTGATCAATGATTTTCCAGATACCCTGTATATATATTTTTTCTTTTGTAAGATGAAATATTGTCTTTTTAGCATATCTTGTATTTTTAATATCATTGATTAACCCTGTATTTCCCCGTCGGTCACGAGAATGAGCATTTGCAGAATGATTGCAGAAAAAAACGAAGCATGGTGATTTGAAAATTATGAGAACACCAGACCTACAAAATCGATAATTTTGAAAAAACAAAAGAGAAAGAAAATTTTCGTTTGCTAGAGTCAGTAGAGGCGTTTCAAGATTTCAGTGCGGCATAAACTGATGAAAAAGTCTACTAGTAAGTTAGATATGTTTCAAAAGTTTCATCACGATAACTCGACGGATTACAGATACGAAGACATACAATTGACCAAGCACCCACTATTGAACAGTTAAAAGAGAAATCAAAAACAAACTAAGCATATGCATTAAAAATCTCATCTCATGAGAAGTTGAAATAGTATTTATAACGAATGCTTATTTAACGATGTGTTTAAAGCACATGTATTCTTCTGACATTAATTTCTAACATTTTACTTCTTTTTTTCTATTATTTCAATAATATGAAATAGACGTTGCTGTTGCCCACTCAACAATATGATCGAAGAAAAAAGATCAAAGCCTAGTATACCGTTCAGTTCCTTTTTTCCCCACCACATTTTCATTGGACTAATCAAACAACTGTAGACAAAGAGATGGATTCTCAGTGAGACAGATCACATCATTCGCTATCAGGCAGGCTTAGACTATTTATAAAGCTACTCTGTTAGTGGCTCTTCTAGAACCACTGTGAGTGATAAAGAGTGAACTGAATTTTCTTTGGTATTTAGTTGAATTGAAGTTACTTCAATGTGAAATATATAAGAGTAGCTATTTTCTAACATATAATAATCAATTAACATTCATTGCTATTTAAATAACATTCATATCTATTGATATATTCTAACCACTTTTTTTGGATAACAAATTGCTCGACTGATTCGGTATTTACGTTCAAGCACTGTCTAGAGATTTTCAGCACTAGTTAATACGTATTCGTGAAACCTTTGACTTAATTATAAGAAATCAAACACCATTTCAAATGAATCACACGCCAAAAAATTGACAGAAATGACTTATATTCGAAGTTTGTCTCATTCTGAATACTAAATAATTATTAACATATCTGACTAGTTACAAAAGAGAAAGTGATATTGCTGTTTGCTGAACAATGTTTCATTAGCTGAAAAGAATATCTAGAATATTCAAAATTCGATCTCAGATCAAACTTAGATAATGGCTTTTCAGTTGTCTGTTTCTATTCGTTCAATTCTTTTGAATCGATAAGAACGCTAGCAAAGATTTATGATGATTTAGTTCTAGATTTTTACGTTCTTGCTAGTTTGTATCTTACCTTTGCTTTTGATGTTGTTTCTTTAGATTGAGTAGTTGGGTTTTTTTGGATAGTTATTTTTCCATTTTGCTGTTGTCTTGAATGATAAGATCGCATTTGACGGTGGCTTATTAAAACCTAGTATTAGAAATATTTCATTAATTTATCCATTTTATTTTAAACTGAGATTTTTGAAATTACATTCTATGTGTTCTAATTTTACTTTTATGGATGAATCAAATCTTTTTACTCGCTTTTTGACAATTCCTTTATGCTAGAAAACGACAAACAATTGATTTACCGTTAGAAGCAGTTTCAACTTCTTCCACGCTGATTTCATACATTCCTTTATATTGTGAACTGGGTTTTTTGCTAAGAACTTTGACTCTGGTACCCGGTAATAAAATCGATTCGGCTTCACCAGGAAATTTTGAAAAAACTGATATGTCTCTTGCTGAATAAGATAAGACCGTGTAAATAACACCCTTGTACTGTCCCATATAATTGGGTTTCGAAAATCCAAAGCATACTGCTGGTATTGCGGATAGCGATGTGACGCCCCACTAATAAGCAGATAAAAACAAAGTAGATTAGTGCACATTGAATGAATAAGAAGAAAAGTTGTTTCTTTCTGTGTTTGTCGTTTAAATTCAAACATATTAAATTCAATTAACTTTTACAAATTTTAGATCATTATTTTTTTTTATTCATTGAAACATAGATTTTCAATTATTTTACGTACCCAAGTAACAATAGAACCGACTTGATATTTGCTACTTTGATCGATATTTTCTCCACGACAATAATATCCTTTCTTTGGTTTCAATTTGCTGATAGCGATATGAAAAAGTTTCAAATAAGAAAACCAAGGTTGTATATTCTTGAGTTGTTCACTACGAAGTGCTTGATTGAGAAGTTTATAAACATCACATTGAGCAGTATATGCTTTTATTGCAGCTACTTCCTCCTTTGCCAATCCATTTTTTGGACCAGATTCATATATGGCAGAAGTAAGACAAGACGGCATATTTTTTGAAAAGTTTGGCACACGCCGAAATGCTTCTTTGATAGGAAGAGTTGGAAGTTGCATGTAAGTTGATCGAAGATTTGCAGGAGTCAATTGCTGACATACCGTCTATGAATTTCAAAAGTGGTTTTTTATGTACTATTCGTAGTCAAAAATACATATAAGAATAATTAATGTATCTATGCATTATTTGTAAAATTAACTAGTTCTTGATTTCAATGATTTTATGAGCCTGATGAGATCCATTTAATCTATAAGACGATGAACCGCGTCTTAAAGTTGTCTACTATCATTTAAGTATTTTGATCTGCATTGCAGTATGACTAACACATTCAGAAATTTCCCTTGCCATAGATGGATGAATAGCTCATTTATCTCAAGCAGTATTTAATGACTTTCAACACCACTTGATAAACATTTGTAGCTATTGAAAATACAATTCAAGACTTCTTAATAAATCGAGAAACTATTTATTTTCTTTAAAAAAAAATGAGGATACCTCTTTTTAGGCCTATAATTCAGCGATGGCACGACCAGAGGATCGGGATGTAACATTCCCTGAATCATCAAAAATTTTCGTTTTTTTTCATGTGGAATTGAAAATTTTCTTGCGCTTTGTTAGCAAAAATTTGTAGAACTTGACCTTCTTTCCTACAAAAAATCGCTACACTCCCCCCTCGCCTAATATTGGCCGGCTCGGACCGTCGCTGCTATAATTAAAAACAAGTCAAATATTTTTTCAAACTTGAACGAAGCGACTAACAAGGGAATCTTCACAGATGTTAAATAGCTGTTGCGTTGAAACTTTGTCCATAAATATGAGATGTATAGACTAGAGAGAAATTCTACGAGAATATGGGCACAAGCTATTGTTCAGATGAGATACTGTCAGTTTTTTCTAATTTTCTTACAGAGCCCTGCTTTTGCGGTAGAATCAAAATTTGGAATTTTTATCTGAAACTTTGTCAATAACAAAGCCTCAATCAAATGAGCTTGCATACAAAATTTCCAAAGCTTTTTACAAATCATCTTCAAGATATGAGTGTTCCAAAATATTCATGTGCCTTATATTAATTTAATATCTAACCAGCTGAAGATCAATATTAACTGATGCTAAAGTTGCTTCAATAGCGCTGATTTTGTTTTAATTAACTGAAAAGAAAATCTAGAATATTTGCTGTAAAGAAAAACATTAAGTAGTTGTAAAATAGTTTCAATAGAAAAATAACGTTTTTAAGTATATCTTCTGAGATACTACACATAGATTCTAACGCTAGAAAATAAATTCTGTTCATTTACTATGTGATGGCTATCGGTTAATACAGAGCTGTATCAGCAGTAACTTCGTAGATTTTGTGATGGCAAAAATAAAAGTAATATAAAACATCGAAAACAAAGAGGGAAATAGCCCATAACATGGATGAATTATGAAACAATGGAAGATTTGCAATAAATGCGAAAAAAGATTCACTAAGATTTCCATCAAAGTCTATTGATATATGTTCTCAATGAGTTCTTCCTTGTGATATGGTTTTTCTCACTGTGAAATATATTAAGAGACAATCTTGATATATTCTTAATTTAAAATGACATTTCTGTTCATTTAATAGAATTCTCCAATACAAAATTACAATAAGTCTTAACTATAGAAATAATTTCAGCCTTAGTTCCATGCCTAGTGTCATTGATCAGCCGTTTTTATTATGTTACATTGTACAAGTATGATTTCTATTATTTAGTATAATAACATAGTCAAAAAGGAACCATTTTACCTCGAAAGTAAACCATCCGACGATGTAGAATAATGTAAAAAGCATTGTAGAACCAAAGATGAACCAATTTCTGTAAACTAACCAATAAGTATGATTGACTTGAAACTTAATTCAATGATAAAAAAGCAACGTATATTTAACAGATAGGATATATTACTAAATATAATACCCGCTTTTTGTTATAGTTACATTATAATTTTAATTGTTTCTATAAATTGAATATATAATTATTCGAAATAATGTTTGCTGTTTCAATATCAAAAAATAGAATTATAATTTTCTCAGATACAAGTATCAAATGTAGAAAAATAATCAGATCATAATGGGTGAAATAAAAAAAAATCATGAGCTATATGAACTACGTTGTTAGAAAACGATCATTTATTATTTGTAAAAAATAAAATTGTCGAAAGAATCATCATGATTATTGTTGGTTACTTTGAAATAGCATATTATTTTAATAATCAACATCATGATATGACTTTGTCATATTTTTCATCAATAAATATCATCGGTAACTATAGATAATGAAGAAAATGAGTTAATCTAATCAAGAAATTCATGAATGTATTTAGTTAAGATCAAAATACATCATTGTCCAAGAAAATAGTCAAAAGTTTTGGCTGACATATAATGCTTGTTAGCGTTAAGATAGCAATACCTAGAGTGAAATTCAATGATAACAAGCAACTTTACGCATAAGCTTGAATCGATCAGACATTGAATACTTTTACTCGAAATTTATTTCAAACCAATTTTCATTGAATATTATCTAATTAGTATGATGTGACACGATGAATACTTTATTAGTGTATATCAGTGACACATAGTAACCTAGTAGTAAATTCAGTTGTTATTATTGAGACTCTCAGACTTAATCAAAATGCACATACACAAAAAGTAATTCAAAATAGCTTTAAGATTAAATCGGAAGTTTTATATATCATGTAGAATTTAGTTGTATATCAAATTAGAACGTACGAAATGTTGACGAACTACATGAATACGTTATTTTTATTCAGATCTATATGATAAATCAAAACGTTCTAAATCATGCATTCATATTGAATAAAATATTTAAATTTACTTGAGATGATCGGTTTTTAGCAACATAGTATAACTTCATTTAACTTGGAGTTGTTTTCGACAGAAAAAAAACATCGGTTTGCAATCCTCTATTTCAGATTACACATCATCGAATTTTTCGTGAAAAAATAAAAATTAAATTAAATGATTGAATATTTTGTCTAATCAGATTGGCAATATATGAGAATCGTCTTTTCAAACTATTCATGTTAAATAGCAGTCTAGAACAAATCTTTTCACTTTATTTCTTTTTCTCTTGTGCCAATTCTTTATTTATATGAGCTTTATTTAACTTAGCAACAAAGCAAAAACTATCCTACAATCTGTTAGAATAATATTCTAAATAGTAAAGTTTCTGTCTATTCCAATAATTTTGTTTTTAAGATTTTTTGTAATTCACGAGTTGTGTCAAGACATAGACGATTCTTTAATCATGTGACTGTAGAACTTGAACAGACAAATTCGATAGTTTTTTTCTTTTTGAAAACTTATAACATTTGTTCAAATATAATTGGATGTTTTGAATTAAATGAAACAATTCCTGTTTTTTAGATTGTCTAAAATTTATGAGTTGAGTTAAATTTCTTATCCTAAATCAACATTTCATCTGGCCGTCTTCGAATATAATCAAAGTCAAAGCCACTCATACAGCTAAGGAAAAATTCATTTTGTCAATAAAATCGAATTTAAGAGAGAGATGCACGAAAACATAGTCTGAAATCTAATCTTTCATAATCAAAATAGTTTGTTGGTCATATTCTTTGAAACAAAAATACAATTTTCTACATAAACATGGATTTTGTGATATTCATCTGTCAGATATTGATTGTGACGGATTGTAAAGGTGCTTTAGCAAGTTTCCATAAGTTTGGTAAAAGAAAAATATTTGCCAATATTAAGAAGAATTTTACTAATCAATCACTAGCCAAAAGAAGTAAAAATATTAAAATATTGTATAATTTTGTTTGCAAAAAAAAAAACATTTTTCGTTGTTTCTGTTTACGCTTTTTCAATGGTACATTCATGAATTCTCAAAGAGGCTTCATTGTAGCTAATTATTTGTGTTTTTGTTTGAAGGAACGTGTCAAAATGAAGTCATGGCATAGTACTTTTCTCTAATTAAGTTTCGTTCTCTATTAAACTTGCAAACACTCGATTAGATAGAAGTCCATGTGAAATGATTTTTTTCAGGCATCAAACTTTCCATTCTTTTTTTGTACATATAAAGTAAGAATTTTAGAGCAGAAGAGCTTTGCCATGCTCTACATCTAGGTATGCTTCTTTAAACAATAATAAACAAAATATTTTAAATGAGGATTCACCAAGAGTTTTCGGTTGTCAAATAGGCAAATTTAGACCCTTGTTGAGTAAATATCTCTCTTGAATGTCATGATATTCAGCAGAAAATTTTCCATTGCCTCTCCACTGCATCTCCAACATATTCTGAAACTTTCACCCGATTGGAACGTACTTGACGCTAAAACCGGTTTCTGTCGAACGACCTTAAAAATTATACTGAGTCAGTCGACAATTCTTTCTGTGATTTCTCTTGCATATTTGAAAGTGTACTCAACAACTTTTGCATACAATATTTGGGGCATAAATAAAATCGAAAACATAGTTGAGCACTTTCAAATGATCAATTTTGTATTTCCAAGTCAAACTTCTAGTCCGTTTGGCATTCATACTCAAAAATTCAATTTGAACTTGCTGATCAACGAAAGTAACAATCATTCACAACTTAGATCATTTTTTTATCTATCATCTCAACTGACATTTATTTAAGATAATATTACTATTTTTATTTATTATTAAGTATACCCTTACCTTTCGGTATTGAATGGGAGACAAAAGTACAGGGAAATACAAAATCTTTGGAAAAGAAATATATACTCTTGGTGAACTTCTTGTTTGTTTTCTGTAGAGTTTAAGAACCAAGTTCATCTGTCCAAATAGAATCTCCGAGTCTCACAGGCTTAGTTTCGATTGTATCTAGTATGGGGCGCCAAACAATTGAAACTCATCCTTTTCGACAAGTATATGTATTATGCTTGAGCACCATTTTGCTTCCACCATCCTGTCAGGTGAGTAATGGGAAAATGATCATTAAAATGCATGTGGATTCGTTTTTGAAGCATTTTGACCATTTTATGACCGTCGAGTCTATTTACTAGTAGTATTAGGCTGATTCAAGTATATCTGTAG